TCGACATGTGCAGGGTGGAGCCAGAGGTCGAGACGCGTCGACGGAGTGGGAGTGGCGACGTGTTTGCTGCTGCCGGGCGGTGCTCGAAGACGCGAGCGAACGCGCGGCCAGAGGGCCGTGCAACGGCGCAGGACGCACAACAGCGTGTAGGCTCTCGCGCGAGGCAGTGAGCCGGGCCGTGGGCGGAGGGTGCCACTCCGCAGTGGCACTGCCGCAGCAGGGGCGGACGGTGCCGTGCAGCGACGCACCTTCCGTATTTTGCGCTTGCGTTCATATGCGGCGAGGTCCTTGCCCTCCAGTGACTTCCTGTATAGGTATTCCTTCCGCAGGCGCGCATTGCGGCGGATCATGGCTGCTGCGCCGGCTGGCCGCAGTCGCAGACCACCGCCGGTGCTGTCGTCGCGCTGCGACCGGCTGGGACGTTTCCTGTGCAGGCGTGGCTGTGCCTGTATGGGGTCACTTATGCGGCACGGATACTACTCCAGCTATTGCTCCGCAGAGGCTGGGAGCGCGTTCCGCTGCTCGAGGTGACAAGCGCTTGAGCGGCGGCCGCAGCTGCAGGCGGCAGGAGCTCGCCGCCTTGCCGCACCGAGAGCCGCTCGCAACCTGGACGGATGTAAACAGGATAAGAATATGATTATAGCTGTTTCGACTTGACGCACATAACACAGCCGTGTTGTATCGAGGCGGGTGTGTGCCTGGGTGGTGTGTTCGCAACACTTGAACGGGTGTAAAGAGGCTCAATTGATCAGCGCCATCATAAAATTTGAGCATCAAGAACATTCAGCAATGATCCTCCACATGCCAAAACGTTAGATTGCTGGTGATCTTGCACTCACCAGGAGGGTGCCTCGCTCCCAAGGGCATAGCTCATTGCTGCCGGGCATCTGACTCTAGTCGTGTACATATTCCTGGGACGATCAGCATGGGTACTCCCATCATCCTGGGTCCCACGCTCTTGCCATGCTTCCTTTTTGCATTTGTCAGCATTTTTATCTTCCGGATTCGGTGAGTTGAAAGTACTGCGGCTGACTGCGGGGAAACCAGGGGCCCGGCGCTCTGCTCCTCTTTGGCCCCGGCTCATGATGCTGTTGGCCGCCGCACCCGCCACGCATGTCCGTTTTATGCTGGTAGCGATCGTCAACCCCACATGGTGCATACACGAACTCCGCAAACTCATCCAGGCCCGGCAAACACCTCCTGGCCGGCTTGAATATCTTCACCCTCGCCTCATCAGCGTCCGCCGCGCCGACGCAAATCCCGACGCCCACCCGCGGCGCCGGCCGCGGCGGCGGCGGCGCCGGCGGCAGTGCCAAGAAACGCGCTGCGCCAAAGGCGCAGCAGGTGGTCGACAGCGGCAGCGGCCTGACGCTCAACCTTTCGAGGATTGGGGAGGGAACCTTGGACCGCCTCGAGTTTTACGATGCATTCGAGATCATTGTGAGAGCCCGCTGCCGCAGCCCGCTGCGCCTCATGATCGTGTTTCCCCCGTTGCCCCCGCCGCGAGCCGCCGCGCGTGCAGCGCGCAACGGCAGCGCCGGTCGGCGCAGCGCAGCAGTGCTGCGGCGGGCGCTGGGATGCAGCGGGCGGTGTGCAGGTCGGCCCGAAAGCCGCAGACCAGCCAGCCCCTTGGGTAGTGTCCCTGCCGCCTGCTCACCCTCCACCCCTGGTGACCCGATCCGACACGGCACAGGCGCACGGCATGCTGGCGCTCGGCCTGGTGCTAGCAGTGCAGCTCGCCGTTGACCACTTTGACCTGCTGGGGCGCCCGGTCAACCGCTTCACGCTGTCCCACATGCTGCCGCTGCTCACCCTCTTCATCCTCTTCTCCCTCCTCAACGTGAGCGCCACACCCGCGCCCACGCGGGCCCCCGGCTGCCGCCCCGCACCGCGCTCGGGGGCGTCCCATGCATGCCTCCCCTGCGAGACCGGCCCTGCAGCCGGGACGGCCCTCACCCCTCCCCCCATTCGCACCCCTCCCACCACCCCAGCCC